GTAGGAGAGGGTGGCAGGACAAATTATGCGAGAAGAAGTTGGGTACCCACCTAAAAGTGGGAGAAGAGCGGGTTTGTGTATCATCTGTCAGCTGTGTATCATGGCGTTAGTATTTGTATGTCATGGAGTAGAAGGAAACAAGTCTGGGTTTTTTCCCCCTGCTGAAGAGTCCTGGTGAAGTCAGCAGCGATGATGAAAACGGGAACTGATCGAGATGACAGAAAATGGCCTTGTGTATAGTTTTCTGCAGGTAGTTTAGGAATGAAAATTGCAAAATACGTGAATATACTTCTTTTTAAGCAAAGCTAAATAGCAGCTCTACAAACAACTAGAAACGAAGGGTTTCAGCTTCTGCCTTTCTTCAAACTCCCAGCAGTAGCAAACGAAGCCTGTGGCAGTCCAACTGAACGGAGCCATTTGTGAGACATAGACTTCAGTTTTCAAGAGTAAGAACTGATGTTTGAAAGGGGGTGAGCACAAGAACAAATGCCCTGCAAGCTAAGCTTTTGGAAAAAAAAAACAACCCGCAGGTGTTGATCTGCACTCCTTTCTTGCCGTGCATTTGCTTTTTTTGCTTATGGGAAGAGTAAAGGAACCCAAATTTGTGGTACAGAAGAAAGGGAGCTCCTGGATTATTTTTTTTCCTCCCTTTTATTTAAAAAAAACAACAAGCTTTTGCTCTCATGTCTCTCATTTGAAAAGTGTTTAATCTGCAGCATAGCAAGTGACAGACTAACGAGGCAATAATAGCCATAGCGTCCCTTTGTGTGTATCAGTTTTATAGGGAGGTTGACCGGGACCATCTCCCAGGTCGGCTGACTTTGAAGGATCCAAACTCAGATGACGGTTACTACCACGATGCTGAAATCCCAGGCTGATTGGTGTGGTCCTTTTCTCAGGTTGCTGGAAGCACAACTCCAGGATCAGAGAAGAGAGCACGAGGAGGAGGTAGAAGCTCTGAAAAATGAGGTGGATGCAATGAAAGAAGAGCTGGAGAAACAGCAGCAGGCTTTCCTACAGACCCTACAGCTGTCTCCAGAGGCCCAGGTGGAGTTTGGACTTCAGCAAGAAATTACACGTCTCACCAATGAAAATCTGGTAAGAGCCTGTACTGAAAACACAGGTTAAGGAAGACGGGGAAAAAACAGGTTGAGAGAAAGGAAGTAGGAAGCATGAAGGGGAGTGGAAGGCACTGGAGTCTCTTCCACCCCTCCTAAATTCTCTGCAGAATCCTTCAGCATCTCCCACTGGTACATTTAGGAGTGTTGGTACTTGGCCTTGAACTGTTGAACTGGCTATATGACTCTTGTGACACCGTAGATACGTTGTTTTTTATTTTTCACCATTTTTTAAGCCTGTCTGCTTTGCGGCACTGTCTACCAAATGAGATCGCTGGGGACCCCTAAGCTCTGTAGTTGTGCATAAAGACAACACAGTCCTTTCTTACTTAGATTTGTTGGGAGTGTGGAGGAACAGTTGCCATTCCAAAAAGTTGGCCTGGCTGATTATAAATTTTCACTTTCTTACCTCCTGTGTCTGTGTGCAAGGTCTGGAGTGAATGTTGACCCCTCCTGAGTTCAGTTGAGGGCTTCTTGCCTTTCTCAACAACTCTAGTATCTCAATAGTATTGGAACTGTTTAAATATGATTAACAGCCAGGAGTAAAATGCTTCGGGTGGTGTGTTGTGAGTATTGCCTGCTGTAGGCTACTTCTAGGAGGGACACAACATCCGCAGTCTTTGTGGTGTAGGTAAGGGTCTCTTTGAGTGATCCAGAAATAACACGGCTCTTCTTCTACTGAGATGCTCACACCGTGCATAGACCAGGCTGCCAAGTGACTCTAGCCTCAAACTTACCCCAAATGAGTTGTTCTTAGGTTTAATTTTTTTATTTTTTTTTATTTTAACCCAATTTAATCTTCTGTTCTTCAGGATCTTAAAGAATTGCTAGAGAAGTTGGAAAAGAATGAAAAGAAGCTGAAGAAGCAGCTGAAGATTTACATGAAGAAAGTCCAAGATTTTGAAGGTGACTTGGCTGTTGGGAGACATTGGGGTGGGGGAACAGCACTCTGGTTTTGCTTCTTTGGCCAGCCTTGGAGAGCTGCAGGTTTTTCTCTTTTTATTAAAGTAAGATTTTGCTCCTTCTGGCACTGAACTAGCAGCAAGCACTGAGCTCATCGTTGGGGTGTGGCAGCAGGGAACCAAAAAGTCCAAATGAAGTTCCAGGGTCAGACTTAGGCTGTCTTGGAGCAAGTCCAGCTGCGCTGCTTTAGCTTGTTAACGTGATTGAATGTGGTAAACTTGGAGGAGAGTCCAAGAAGTGATGGAGGGCAAGTGCTTGCTGGAGGTGTTGGTCTGATGCTTGGCGTACCAGGGTTTGGAGGGTTTTAAAGAAACCTTTTTGCTTTCCTTGCTGTCGGTGCTGTGATCCAAGCAGATACAGAGAGGAGACCAGTGGCTAGCAGGTAATTGCTCTGATCTGGCAATTTTGAGAGGGAATTAAAACCACTTAGGATTAAAATATATATGTATATTCCGCTTGATCAGAGAACACCTCAAATGTGACATCTGTGTTGTATCGGAGGAGCTTCCCATTCTCTGCAGATGCCTTGATTAATCAGAGAACCTCATTCTCATGAGCTAATTTCTGAAAACTAGGCATTAAGTGAAATTAAGCTGAATAACTGGAGGGTTTCCATGGCTAGCACAGCTGGTCTCTGTCGGTGTCATTTGCATGCAGCAGTATTTGCACGCTAGTCTCTTCTTTTTTATTAAACTTTTATGGAAGCACAAATCTCAATGGCGTGCCACCGCGGTTCTTCAGCCTTACAGCCAAGCAGAAGATGTGATGCTTAGGTATTTTTTCATTGACTGGCTATTTTATTTTCCCCCTCTGTGGAACTCACACACTAAAAACCTTCACGTAGGGTTACTGTCTTCTAGCCTGTGGTTCCTTGGAAAATAAAAACGGTTTCATCTTTTCCTCTTTAGGTCCAACCTTGGCACTCTTTCTTTCCTTCAGAGTCAGAACTAGTGCTGACCGGTAATTTAAGACCTGGTTCTTTAGATTTTTATAAGTCTGTCGAAGTTGATGACGTTGTTGGAAACTTAATGTATAAGGCTTTGGCCCGGTGTCTGCTCTGAGGCCAATGGAGGACCCTGAATAGTTCTCAATTGCCAGGTACCACCTTTCGTGCTTTTTTCTCTTCACAGCATCCCAAACCATGGTACCGGCGGAGAGAAGGCAGCACGAGCGTAACATGCAAGTTGCTGTCCAGAGGAAGGAGAAAGATTTTCAGGGCATGTTGGAATATTATAAAGAAGATGAACCACTCCTCATCCGAAACCTCATTACAGGTGAGGAACTTGCTCTGCTCCTGTGCCTGGCTCCTTCTTCTTTTGCCTGGGAGAGTTTGTAAACTTGAGATCTCAAGATAGATAAATAGATCTTCTCAAATTCATCCCTTCTGGGGCTGCACGTTTATGGTGATGGCAGTTTTGGTAGGTAAAGCAGCGCAGCACTAAGCAGATGGACCAGCATGGATATAATCCTTAGGGATAGCAAAAAGTGGAAAATGCAAAAAGGAGGCTGCAGTTTTTAGGGCAGGCAGTAACTTGCTGAGCTTCATACATAGATGGAGAGGGGATAGCAAAGGATAGACCCCAGGGGTTTTGTGCAGCAATGGAACAAAGGTAGTGTGGTTTATGAGATGGTAACAGATAACGGATAATAAACTTGTGAGCTCTTTTATGCTGGAAAATCTGATCAGAATTGCTGCAGCATCCTCTTATTCAACGCTGTTGGAGAAGTCATGCTTCCCTGGTGAAGTGTTAGTATTTACCACTGCTCTCTAGCCTCAGCAGAGCCTAGTGAGGATCTAAAAAGTATTCAAAGAGCAATGCTACCCATTGCTGTGGTCTTTGAAGTTCCCCTAATCAGACGGGCTTTTTCTTTAGAGACTGCAAATTCCCCCAGCTGCCGTTTAGGATTCAGTATCTTG